ACACAGCTCTGACTTTTCCTAAGCGAATTGAGAAAGTGTTCTCCGAGCAACTCTGCCTCCACAGGACTGGCTGTGGATAGGAACTGGGCCTTCTCTAATTAAGGCGAAATTCTGGTCCCCCCAGAGGCCTCCCTGGCAGTTGAAGAGGAAGTGAGACTTTGCTCTCTGCACCAGATCCTTTTCAGCATCCTCTGGGATTGCAGTGGCAGGTGTAGAATTGCTCCTGTGCTGGGCATAATGGACAGGAGGACAGCTTGGAGGGTTGAGCAGAAAGCCAGACCTAAATAACCTCGGCTGTGGGCAGCCCTTGCTCAGCGTGAAACTCTCTAATTCTCGTAGAGCAGGCCACACCACCTAGAGCAGCACTGCTCAGACCCCAGAGTGCACCGGCACGTCCAGGGGAGTCTTGCTGACATGTAGGTCCAGGTTCTGTAGGTCTGGACATACCTGAGACTCTGCATTTCTAATCTGCACCCAGATATTGTGAGGCTGCTGGTCCAGGGACCACAGTGTGAGAAGCAAGAGTGAAGGGGAAATAGGTTCTGAAACCCAAATGTTCAGCTTCAAACTCCAACACGGCCACTTAGTCTGTGACCTTGAACAGATGACATTCCCCTCTCTGCACCCCTCTCAGCCTGTATAAGATCAGAAAACTGACAAAACTGGTGACTTGGAGATTGACCAACAAAATGACTTCACAGGGGTCATAAGGATAAAATGAAACAATGCGGGTAAAGGGTGCTGTGGTGGTGGGAGAACTCTGGTGATGACACCTGAGGGGAGAAATCCAATATTGTACAAAAGATACTGGCACAAAGAAGGGGGGCCTAGGTTGGGGAGCTGCCCCCAAGAAACTGTGTGTGCAGGAAAGGAATGGCATCTCTGGAAAAGAGTCAAGGTTAAATATAATTCCATTCCAGATGAGAGGACACTGAGACCTACGCACGGGCACATGCTCACCAGCACAGCTGGCTCACGAGCAGAGCCAGCAGGAGCGACAGGCTGGGGCCTTCGGAAAGGCCATTCCCAAGGGCAGACGCAACAGCTGCTTGACAGCCAGGCAAACCTGGGCCTGCAACACACACTGTTGTCCTTCTGTTTCTGCTGAGTTGGGTGACATGGAACTGGGGAGGTCAAAGGACAGGGACTACAGAAACCCAGGGTTGGTTTAGCGTTGCAGAATCCTTTATACAAAGAAGACTCAGCACTTCAGCTGTTCCTGGCAGCTGTGTCCCAATGACCTTGTTTTAATTCTTACAACTGTCATCTGCTTAGGTTGAAAATCTATCAGAGGCTCTCTGGCCACAAAAGCAGCCTCAAGCCAGAAGCTCCCTCATCCAATGAGCCAAGTTGAACACGGGACACAGTCACATGTGCGTATTTCCATGTGACCTGGAATGGAAAGCTGGACAGTGCAGAGCGTTTTCTCAGGACCTTTCCCAGCCTGTTCAGCCCTAGGGAGCTGAGTGGAAGGAGCCTCTGCTGGCTCCCTTCCAGCCTGTCCACAGCGCCGGCTCCTCAGATACTGCAGAGGGTCAACAGGGTCACCAGCACGTCTCCTGGGTGAGACAGCACAGGAACAGACACACACTGAGCAACTGGCAAGGGCAGGGCTGATGTCCACGCGGAGGATGGAGAGGAAGGTGACGTACGTCGCCTCTTGAAATGGACCAGCTGCATGGAGAAGAAAGACACAGGTGGGCTGGAACTGACACAGAGGGACACGTCTGAATGCCCAGGCAGTCTGGTCTTTGGTCTGGGCTTTGGAGAAGAGAGGCAGGCGAAGACATGGGGAGGGAACATGTGGGATCCTAGAGTCTGGCTCTTCAGGTAGAAACGGGAGAGAGAAGTCCTGACGGCTAAGCTAGATCAGAAGTGCCAGGTCCCAGCAGCAGGTTAAGGACTACACTAGGACATTGGAAGTAATGAGTGGCCCCAAAGGAGCTCTGAGAGCAAGGGGGTGAGTGGAGGTGGAGAGCAGCACTGGGAACCAAGTGAGGCAGGTGTGGAGTGGGGAGACTGGCACGGGCTATACTGGGCGGGCCCTTAGAGACGGGGGAGCTGGGGAGAGTGGTTAGGAAATCAGCCTGCATCTAAGCTCGAGTCATGTCCCAAAGGCCAGGACTTGAGACCATGGTACATTCTCCTAGACCAAAACTGGCATCAGTTAGCCTCAGACTAATTAGCATTCCTATCCCAGCCAGCTCATTGGGTGGGAATAATAAGCCTGCGTGTGAATGCTGATGGGGTACAGCGCTGGGAGAGGTATTTTATAATCAAGTTCTGATGATGGATACCCAGTTTAAAAATAAAGCTATGTCATTATCCTAGAACTGGAGGGGCAGGCCCCCTCGCTCTGTTTTTGACTCCCAGGAGCTCTCTCTTTTGTCTTAGCCCATTTTTCTTTCCTATCACTAATTAGTCTTGCGCTAGACTCCAGAGCCAACTTGATTTCTTTCAGGACAGCCTATGTTAATTTAGTTTTGACCTTCTGATCATCAAGGGTTAGAACTGATAGATGCTACCCATTCATTCATGCTCTCAATGAACTGTCAATTCTGAGGCTGCACTTGAGCAGGTTGATTCCTGCACCAGGTCTCCAAGAAGCAAGTGACGTCCGTACCTAGAAAACAATAAAGGGATAGAGGAGAGGCTCTAGAGGGTGTCCGTATTTAAGAGATAGTAGAGGAATAGTAACCAAGACTCGGGGTGATACGGAGGTGGGAGAACCATGGTGACTACAACAACGTAAGGGAAGAAAAGAGGAGGCAAGGCCCTCCCTGGTGGCGCAGCAGGTTAAAGCACAGCACTGAGAAGCTGGAGCCACTTCCGCATGAGTTCGATTCCCGCCTGCCGCCTGCCCCGGAGGAGATCCACATGGCGTGGCAGACCTCTCCTGACCCTCCCGCTGCTCCCCTCAGCAGTGTGCTTTGTCGATCTGCCTGTTCTGCTCCCCACTCTGTCTCTGGTGAAGCCTCTCACCACCCCTGAGCCTCTGGCCTCTACCCCAGTTCTGTATGCACAAATAAATATTTAAAAAAAAAAAGAAAGAAAAGAGGCAAAGTGACCTACAAGACACCACAGGACAAATGCACAGAGCAACTGGAAACTCTGCTCTTGCATAACTGATGTTAAAGAATCGTCTGGGTCACTAAAAGGAAAACGGCTGTTATGGTCTAGTCACAAAATGAAATCTGCCTGACATTAAAAAAGAAATCAGGCCCTCTCTGGTGGTGCAATCGGTTAAAGCACAGTACTGCAAGCTGGCCGCATCCACTTCAGTGCGAATTGGATCCCCGCCCCGGAGGTGACCCACATGGTGCAGCAGACCTCTCCTGACCGCCTGCTGCTCCCCTCGCAGTGTACTTTGTCAGTTGGCCTGTTCTGTTCCCCACTCTGTCTCTGGTGAATCCTCTCACCGCCCCTGCGCCTCTGGCCTGTACCCCAGAGTTCTGTGTGCATAAATAAATACATCTTTAAAAAAGAAAAAGAGGACCCTCCCTGGTGGTGCAGCAGGTTAAAGCACAGCACTAAGAAGCTAAAGCCACTTCCGCATGAGTTCGATTCCCGCCTGCCCCGGAGGTGACCACATGGTGGGGCAGACTTCTCCTGGCCCGCCCGCTGCTCCCCTCAGCAGTGTACTTCGTCGATCTGCCTGTTCTGCTCCCCACTCTGACTCTGGTGAAGCCTCTCACCCCCCACATCTCTGGCCTGTACCCCAGTTCTGTATGAACAAATAAATAAATCTTAAAAAAAAGAAAAAGAAAAAGAAAAACCCATGTTGGAGCCTTGTGCTGTCACCAAAGTGCAGGAAACCACCCTTCTCCTTTCTCCCACTCCTAATCCATCCATGCTTATTATTACACTGATTTATACATGAGCTACATTTTTATTGTATGTTACAACTCTCCTTTTAAAACTCGATGCTTCTTGAGGGCTTGGATTTAGTTTTTAAATACATTTCTGAAGCACCCACCACACTTCACTTCACTGGCTACTAAGTAGCCAGTAAGAACCCGATCAATTATTTACTAGGCTGTCAAAAAGCCAACTGAGCAAGGAAGGAGATGCAACAAGAAAGAATAGGTGTGAAATAAAGTAAGGAATCCCACTAATTCATCCTCCAATGACCTGAAGCCAAAGAATCACGCCTGGGAAGAAAAACTTACTGAAATAATTTTCTCAGTACCTTTCTTCACTGTCATTTTAAGCTAGCAGCCAAGCTTCATCTCTCCTCAGCAGATTTGGGGGAAGACAAAGTGGAGCAAAGGGGGGTACTGGCTCAGCCCCACCTTGTAACGACTTCAGGCTTCCGAAGGGATAGATGTCCTTTTGAGGGAATTTTTAGAAGGGTAAGGAAGGCAGATTTCAGAGTCCAAGGACTGAGTCTCTAAGAGCAGAAGAGCCACAAATCCTGTTCAGTGCTGAGAACCCAGAGGGGCTGCAACCTGGGCTGCCATTCCCTGATTTGCCCAAGACACCTGATCCCCACCCTCCCCCATCACCCCAAACACAATGTGGGGGTATAGCATGAAGAAGAGATGGGTGGGGTAGTGGGGACCTCTCCTGATGCCACATAGAATGGCAGCTGACATATTCAGGGTCCCCTCAGTTATAATCTCGGACCTTTGCAAAACCCGGGGTGTGGAGGAGAGCAGTGGGGGTGGGGGTGGGGAACATCCCAGGAGAAGACGAAGACAAAATTTCCCACAAATCCACCAAGAAGCAAGAAGAGGGGTAGGCATCGGTGACATACTGATTGAGAACAACAGAAAGCTATCCTTTACAAAATGACGTTTGGGCTGACACCCCCTTTGGCTTTAAGTGATTTTAATCTCCGGGTGGGGAGTGGCCTGGGGCAGGGTGACATGGCAGAGGGCAACAAGCCTTAACTGTCTGCTCAGTTTGTGGGAAGAGCAAGAACGCAGCTGCTGAGAGGCTCTGTGGCAGCACTAAGTTGGAAGTACATTCTCCATCACGCTGGGTGGAAGCACAGGTGATCAGAAGGCAGCTCCAGGTGACAAGGGTGAAAAGCGTGCCCAGGCTGTGTGTGGAAGCTTCCCGCTGGGTGGGGAGAAAGGCAGGAACTTGAGCCACATCCCAGTTACTGGCGAGGCACCCACCCCTCAGTGGAGCCTCCAGGCAGGAGCCTCCAGGCTGGGCTACCCAACTTGCCCTTGCTGGTACCATGTCCTCTGAGACTGAGTGGACGGGGTGGGGGCGAGGGGCAGAGTTTGCACAATCACAGGTGGCCTGCACACACTGCCTTTGGGATTTGGGGGTCCCCAGTAGAGATCAGCCCATCTTGGACGATCTACCTACCTTTCATTGTGGTTGTTCTTTGGGATACACAAACATTTCTCCTGTAGAGGGCAGAAACAGCACGGGGAAGGTCACTTTTCCCGGACAAGATGGCCAGCCCTCTGGACACCTCATCAGGCCTTGCTATAGGTCAGGGCCCAACAACACAGTGGCATCTAGAAGCCGGTGTCAAGCACCCCCTAGTCATCCAGGGGTGGGGTCTGCATGGTCATGGCTTAGGAATCCATGACCAAGCCTAGAGGGCAAGACTCCAGAGAGAGAGCTAGGCTAGAGAGGCATCCAGCAGACGTGCCAGTCTGTGTACAGCAAGACATGAGACAGACAGTGAAGGGCCCTGGGAGGAGGGAGGACAGAGCCCAGGGCCAGAGCAGCAGTGCAGAGAGGGGGCAGGGCTTCACTTACACAGCAGGTCCCACACTGATGGAGGGAATCCAGTGGGCCCTTTTTAGCTTTTTGTGGTGTCAGCTGCTTCTTATGAAGACCAAGCAGTGCCCCACCTGCTCCATTCATTTTCTTGAGTTGGAGCTGTGGGTCTGTGTCAGTCTTTCTAATTAGCTTGAGTCCTGGCTGTTCCTTTGGTCCTCTTCTAAGGGGACTGGTGGGGAGTCGGGGAGGGGCAGAGTTGGGAAGACAATTTCCAACATGATGAGGAAAGAGCCAGTAACATGGGTGACCGTGGAAGGCCTTGACTCCCAGCCACCGGGACCATAAAAGCAAGGCTGCTCCTTGAAGTCGGAGTCCTCTGACCTCAGAGGACATTTAGCAAAGTGAAGGGAGGAGATGCTTTAGGAATGAGGAGAGGTGGGTGCAGGTTACACTTACAGCTTGTTGTTCTTCTGAATATCTATTAAAACATTCATCTTGTCATCCATATCCTTCTGCATTTCCTGCAAGAGAGCATTCCGAGCAAGAATCTTTAATCTTAAAGGGCTTCCACAGCCCTTCTCCTGCCTCTGCCTGTGAACCACTCAGAGATCACTCAGCCTCTTGCTCCCTCAAACATTCTCACTGACCTAGGGCGAGGTGGCTGATGGGGTGCACATTGACATGCATCCCCGCTTGCTGTATGCTCCCCATCCATGATGCTCAGGCAGTCTTTAGGGCTTTGTCCAATGGCTGCTGGTGATTCTTTTACCCACTCTCATGCCCGGATGAAACCAGTACGTGCTTGGCTCAAATGGTGGAGCCAAGAAGACCAATCTTTTTGTGACCCCCAAAGGCTAATTTTACTCCAGTGTTTTGACCCTTACCCTTCACCTAGATCCTTTTCATTTATGTTTGCTCCAATTTTTACCCCGCAACACAAGACAAAACTGATAGTAGCTCAAGTGACCACTCATGTTTATCATTTACACAGAATTGAAATAATAATAACATTTTCTTGGGCCAAGTTTAGATCAATAAAATTTGACTTGGGAAAATTGGATAGGAAAAAAAGAGATCAGAAAAGAAACTCTAATGTGGCAAAGAAGTTAAAACTGATGATATTTGTTGTGAACCAAAGTTGGCTTGAACATAAAATATACTTTGCATTAAGGAAAATACATTTTATTACTAAGAAGTGAAAGATTCGGAAACAATTTCCTGATCTGTTGTAGAAAACTGACCGAGGACTTTTATTGACTGGGTAGAGGTGATTTCCAAAAATACTTTATTGAAAAGCATTGTTAAGCATAAGGATAAATTTTGAGTAAAATATTTATATTCATTAATGGAGTCAACAACTTCTTGCAGTCAAATGCCCACTGGGTCCAATAACTTAAGGCCAAAATGTCCCATCAAGTCTCACCATCACCACAAAAATGCATGGTTTTCCAGACTGACCTCCCTATTCCAGTGAGCGCTGTTTCCCAACACCCTTGTCACTGTACCGCTTTCTTCAGATCATCGAGGTTAAGACTTTGGTGTCACCATGGAGCATGGCTTTCCTTCCTTTCCTTCCTGCTCAGTCTTCATGAACATCACTTTTCCTTCCATGTTTCTCTCCAATTCACCCTTTCCTCTGTTCCTCCACCTTGCCCAGCTTTCCTCACCTTGAGCAGGGGTGCAGCGTCCTGTCTGATGTTCTAGCTCCCACAACTCCCCCCTCAGCCACCTTGCAAACAGCTGCCGGCTGGCTTTCTGAAGTGCTGTTCCTAGCGCGTCCTTTGACTGAGGATCTCCAGAGGCCTCTTCCTGCTTACACAGCCCAACCCCAGCCTGGCGCCTGTCTTTCAAAGGCCTGTGTTCTCCACTGCCTTTGTGCCCTTTCCATTTTATTTCTCACAGTTTCCCCAAATGATCCCACTTTTATGACTGATCTCCCTGCTGACCGTGATACACTTCACGTTCATCCTGCTTCCATGCTGTGTGCAAGCTGTTCGCATGCCCAAAATAGCCTCCTTTGTGCCTTTCCTTACCCAGCCCTGCCCGCTAACAAAACACGTACTGTGTCTGCATTTTAACACAGAAATAATTCATTCTCTTTTGGAAAATCTGAACTACACAGAGGAATATAAAAGAGAAACTATCTCATCATTTAGAAACAGCAGCTATTAGCCCTTTTATACTTCCTTCCAGTCTTTTTTCTGTATATTTACTTAGTGGAGATCAGTTTATAAAGGTAGTATTTGCAGCTTTTTTTTTTTTACTTCTCATTATACACATTCTTTCTAAAGATTGCCTCTAGTAGTCCTTCATATTCGTGATATGGAGCTACCACAATTTTTCTGGCTAGTCCCCTGCACTGAAAATTGTGGTTGTATCCACATTTTTGCTATCATAAGTAATCTTATAATACATCTTTTTATAGTTACCCATATTGGAATTTCTGATTATTGTCATAAATTAAGTTCTAAGAAAAGGAACAGATGAGTCAGGGGTTTTGATATCTTTTTTCATGTCTATTGTCTAATTCTTTTCCCAGTTTTATACAAACTTGTATTCTGCTCAGCAGTTTGAGAATATTCCTATCCTGTTCTATAATTGTTGTAAGTTAAAACTTTGTTGATTTAAATGAGCATTATCTATTGGTTGTTTTAATCTGCATTTATTTGGTTATTTATGAAATAAACCCTTTAAATGTGATTCTGGCATTTTATTTGTATTTGCTTCTATGGATTACCCCCTTTTTTCCAGATTTATTTTTATTTATTTATGCATACAAGAACTGGGGTATAGGTCAGAGGTGTGGAGCATGAGAGGATTCACCAGAGACAGAGTGGGGAGCAGAATAGGCAGATCGACAAAGTGCACTCCTGAGGGGAGCAGGGGGCGGGTCAGGAGAGGTCTGCCAAGTCATGTGGAACACCCCTGAAGCAGGCGGGGATCAAACTCATGCTGTAATGGCTGGGTTTGATAGCATTGAGAATTTAACCCCTGAGCCACTAGGGTGGCCTTGGATTACCCCTTTTTCTATCTGACTCTTTTTTATGTGAGCTTTATATGTCAGCAGTAAAAAATCTTTGTCTATGTCCATCTTATCTGTGGACAATTGCTTCCCCAAAACTGCTGTTTGCTTTTAATTCTGTATATGGTGTTTTTCTATTATAATTTAAAATATTTTATATTATTAAACTTATCAATATTTCCTTTGTGATTTCTTCTATTGTGTTTATATTTAGACCACTCAGTTAAAATGTTTACTGTTTCTTCGTATTTGCTTTTATTATTTAAACTTACTTTATAAAGTTAAATAGACTGAACTACATTTTCTCCTCATATAGCCCAGCAATGTTCTTAATATTACTACATAATCCTTTCCTTTGCACTGGGATTTTAAAAATCATCTTTATCATATTTCAAATTTTGTAGGGCTGTGACCTGACCTCATCCCCAAGGTCCTGACTGAATTGTTATTGGGTGCATGCTGGTGTTTGTGGGGGAGCAGTTCAAAGTCATAGGACATGCGATTCTACTGTGCAAAGTCAATGATGACTACTGAAGAGTTGGGGGCGTGGTTTTCACCCAGGGGCAAGCACCAGGTTCAGGGACAGAGTTTTAAGAAATCTCCATCAGTGAGTCTCAGTTCATCCCTAAGCAGAGGCCACTGAAGGGTTATCTTTGCATAAAATCCTCATTTGTCTGGTAATCCTCATTTGTCTGGTAAACCTTGTGCTCCATTCGTTGATTTGGCTATTATAGTTTTGCCGTGAATTTTAATTATCAAATTGGGGTAATTCCCCCTTTCACTCTTAAAAAATTTATCATATCTGCTTTTATCCGTTTTTGCTTCTACATCAGTGATTCTCAAACTTTTACCTGGACAATGTAAAAGTAACTCCAAGGGCGAATCCTGATCCAAACAGGACGCAGGCTCTGTTTTATAGAACTGCAAGTGATCCCCAAACACATCACTTTGAGAACCACTAGACAAATGATCCACTCAGAAACTGCTGAGTTAAAAAATTTTACTGGGCATTTAGCCAGATTTGTTCTAATTTTCTAAGTTTCAAAGCAGCCTTCAAGTTTCACCTCACATTCTCTGTAAGAAATTTTTTAGCTACTCCAGCCTATTTTCATTACCCACCTCTCTAAATTCCTAATTAACCAGTAACCATTTAGCTTAGTACTTACATGTTATTTAATTCTCTCTTGCAAGAGAGTGTGGATTTTGGACCTTCCTGGTGGCACAAGGGATTAAAGCTCAGCACTATGAAGCTGTCCACAGCCTTTACAGAACAAACCCCAGCCAGGGAGGCGACCCACATAGCAAGGCAGACCTCCCCTGCCTCACCTGCTGATGCACCCCTCAGCAGTGTATTTCAGTCAGTTGGCCTGTCCTGCTTCCCACTCTGTCTCTGGTGAATCTTCTCACCCCCGTACCTCCTGTCTATTCCCCAGTTCTTGTATGTATAAATAAATATATCTTTTTCTCATTTTTTAAGATTTATTTAGTTGTGCATACAGAACTGGTACAGGCCAGAGGTGCAGGGGCAGTGAGAGGATTCACCAGAGAGTGTGGAGCAGAACAGGCAGATTGTGGAAGTATACTGCTGAGGGGAGCAGCTGGCGGGTCAGGAGAGTTCTGCCACACCATGTGGGCCACCTCCAGGTCGGGGATTGAACTCATCCTGAAGTGGCTTTAGCTTCTTCTCAGTGCTGTGTTTTAATCCACTGAGTCTCCAGGGAGGGCCATAAATACATCTTAAAAAAAAAAAAAAAAAGAACAAGAGAGTGTGGGTCTCCCACTAGGTTGTAAGCACCTGCAAGGCAAGACTAGAATTCCTGGTAGGGCATCAGCCCTTGAGGACACTCAGGAGATGCTTACCTTCATAATATCCACAAACTCCTGGAGTTTGTCAAAGTCCTTGTCCATTACATCCTTTATCTGAAGAGGCAGAAAGGCACAGAGCATGTTACTGAAGACAGTTGTGGAGTTGTCTTGGGGACATTATAGGCAACGGGCAGCAGCTACTCTCCTGGAGTGAACCTGAAGCTCAAAAATGGACTAGTGCAGACTTGTTTAAAACCCTATTCTCCCTGAGTAGTCACTCAAGTGACTCAGGGGCATGCACCATCACATGCTGTCACAAGGCCACCTGGTGATACAAATCAAGGTCAATATGAATCTGCCAACTTTTAATACATACATTTTTAGATATTTTGCAGACTTTATGGGTATATGAACCTGTTTTTATAAATCTAAAAACCAATGAGACACCTTAAAGTGTCTCTATCATTCAAAAATTCGGTTTAAGAATCAAACAAGAAATTGATATCCTTGAGCTGCCCAATAATTAAACACACTAGAATTAGTGTGATTGCTTTTTCCATGCAATCCTCACTGTCCTGCACTGTTTCTAGACATTGTCCTTGAAGCTGCTCCTTTCCTTCATGCTATGAAAAGTCCCACCCTTTCAAGCTGTTACCTGCTTTATCTCCTCCATTTTTTCCTTGAGCTCTTCCCTCACCTCCCTGAGTTCATTCTGAGGAAGGAGAAAAGAAATGACATGAGTGGAAGAGAAACTGTCCTGAGGAAGAAAGGAAAGATCCTGGAGTGTTGCTGAGAGGTGAAGAGAAGAGAATTCCCACCAGGGAGAAAAGACAGCACCCAGAGAAGTCAGGACAGTGAACCAAAAGTGTACACACCTCTTCCATGGGTCATCCTTCATCAGCCCACGCCCAGGGTAATGCTACAAAATGATCTGTAATCCTTCAAAAAGTGTATGACCCAAAGACAAAGGCTGAAGAACTGTCCAGATGAAAGGGGACTAAAGAGACAAAAGAAACTAGATTGGGCTCCAACTAAAGTTGTTTTTCTTTTGTGATAAAAAACCATTAGTGGGATAATTGGGAAAATCAGAATGAGGTCTATAGATGAGTACTGTATTCATGTTAAGTTCTTGATTCTGATATTTTGATACTAGCCGTGGGGCTATGTAAGACAGTGTTCTTATATTTTAGGACATATATGATGAAATTTGACAGAATTTGAATGTATATGAAGAAAGAGAAATGGGGAGAGAGAGGAGACTGAGAGACAGAATCATGACAAAATACCAACATTGGGGAATCGGGTGAAAGGCATCCTAGAATTCATTGTATCATTTTTTGGGAAGCTTTTTCATTAAGTCTGAAATTATTTCAAAATAGAGTTAATAAGAGAACAGGACTGGAGGGCACAAAGTGGGACAGCTGGCCACAGGCCCACCGCCTCTCTGTGCGCTCTCCCTGCTCCTGGGCTCACACTCTTACCTTGAGCTCATGTGTCCCTCCCGACTTATTGGATGGCCCTTCTTCTTTAACTCTTTTGTACTCATGTGTCTGTTGATTGAAACCAAAACACAGAATATTGGAAGTTGCAGGTGAGAGATAGAGAGATCTCCCCAATTTTCTGCTCTTCCTTGGCCCATGGGCGGAGAGACAAGAGAGCAGTGCACCCCCATCCTCCTCTGAGTCCATCTCATTCTACTCCTCTCTGGGCTCTGTTCCTGGAGGAGCCAAGCTCATTACTGCCTCAGGTCCTTTGCACATGCTGCTTCCTTGTCCATAGGGCTCTTCCTCTAACTTGGAGTGACAGGTATATGGTCTCTCAACTCTCAGCTCAAATGAAAACTTTCCCACCAATCTAAAGCATCTGCCTGGTCATCTTACTCTTTTAATTCTCTTAAAATTATTAAATCACCCCTTATTTATTTATGTATCTGATTAGTGCTAGAGCAAAGGTCTATGAGGGTAGAGGGTGACCTCTCACTGCATTCCCCAGCACCTGGGACAGGTCTTGGCCACCAGGGACAGTGAATGACCCCTGACTCCAAATCATCTCTCTAGGGGTCTCAGGCCTGGCTGCCGGCATGGTTTCAAAAAAGCTTTTAATTTTGGTGGGCTCCGGCTTCAAGTCCAGGCAAACTGTCTTGTAGTTCTTGTTCTGTGGAGAGAGGAGGCTGGGATTCAGCCTATCAGGTGTCAGGATAGAGGAGGAGCAACACACACACACATACATACCCCAAAATCCAGCTCTTGACCTCAGGCCCACAAATCCCCTAACACCTATTTTAAGACAACTCAAGTTTTGTCATGTTTTACTCTTAGAAACATAAGTTTGTGTATTCAGTAGGCGACACCCTCTCCTGCTAGGGGTCTGGGTAAAGAAAGCACTTGAGATAACTGTGGAAGCCAAATAGGTACTATTTTAGGAACTTGAGTTTTAGGGATAAAGAAGACTCAGGGTTCATTTGTAGTCGCCTTCTTTGTTTATTGTTATCAACTTGGTTCAGTTATTTAGTCTCTCTGAGCCTCCATTTGTTCATCTGTAAAATGGGGGCAATAATACCTAATGAATTTCGAATACCCCACAAATACAGCTATTAGAGGCAGGCCTCACACAGGGCTGGCCTGGAGCTCATGGTTCCTCATGTCAGAGGGAGAGAGCAGAGCCCTCTTCTGTTCCCCCTTTAAGGCCTGGGATTAACCACACACTCTGGGCTAAGATGCTGCTTCATGTTCAGAACAGAGGAAGGAGAGCCAAGGATTCACTGGGAGTTCTCTGTACTTCCCACCCTGCCCTCATCCCTCCATTTGGTGGGACCCCAAGGAACTCTGCATTGCCCAGCAATTTACCAGATGTGTTTTCTTCAGTTCTGTTCTCTTGGCTGACATGATGGAGGAGGCCAGAGTGTTCAACTAGTCAACCTCCCCACACGGGCCCCCCTGACCAAGCCACTGTCCTATGCAGATCATAGGCCAAGGTGAAGGCAGGATGACCAGCTGTCTATGTGCAGGTCAGCTGAGGTCACAATGCCCACAACCCAGTGCTAGCCCATAGTGTCAGCACACCTTTGAGCCAGGATGTATCAGCCATCAAAATGGGAGCCTCAGTAAGCTTCCAAAGCGGCCAGATCTACTCCTGAAAACTGGCCAGGGGCTCTCCTACAAAGTCTACCCCGGTGAGGCATGAAACTGAGGTTAAATGGTTAAATTGCCCTCAGACGCTAAAGCACAAAAGAGAAACATGTACTTTTCCCTTTGAGATTTGTTTTCACAGATGCAGCTTATCTACAACTGATACAACCTGATCTGATTCTTTGTCAACCCCAAGATGGCAAAGGAGCCACCAATGAGGAGTGGGGTGGGGTTGAGAGTCAAAGAGGGAAGTTTCTGGTTATTTGAAATAAAACCTCCCCCTATATGGATTGATTTGTAATTACTCAATGAACTTCAGCCAGAGTCAAATAATTATGCCATTAGCCTGCTTTTTAGGCAATAAAATTAACTCCCTTGTTCTAAACCCACTCCTCCAAATCAATATAAATCTTTTCTTTTGCTGGATGTAAGGCAATTGTGAGTTTCCTCTTGCCTCTTGTCAGTCTACTTTCAATAAAACTGCCGCTCTCAAGACCTGGTGCTGTAGTCACTGATTATTTGCACAGGGCAGTGAGCCCACTGCTGGTAAAAGCCTGTGGAGGCAGGAGCCCGAGGCTCCCTCCATGAGGCCAAGCTGTTGACTGGGTGTCCAGCCTCAACAATTAGCTTCTTCGAGTCTCCCATCATTTCCTCTTGGTGCTCTCCTGACTGGATGGGCCTTCCCCGGTTTTGTGACTGACTTGAGTTAACATGCCCTGAATGTATTGTGCTAACCTGAGATTCTCTGAACTGGGGGTCAGGGGGCCTATCTCAATCTCTAGAATGATTTTGATACCCTGGAATGATGGCATGGCTGACCCAGTCTTCTCTGGTTCTTCTGTCATCCTGGGAGAGAGTTGAAGCAGGAAGCTATATGTAGGTAGCACTGAAGGTGAGAAACATCCCCAGGTTGGAGGAGAAGGAGATGCCTAGGTCATTCTAGGGTAGCTATGATTTGTTTAACGAATCAAAGGAACAGGCCCCCCCCACTGGGGCCTAAAGCCATTCAGGATCTGTTTAACCAGTCTCATTTCTCTTTTCCTCTTATCCCTGGGCATCCTACATCCTTCTTCCCTCTCATTTCAACTACTGGTAGCTACAGAAAAGGTCCACTTGGAAATTCTGGAAAAGAAAGCCCAGGGGTATAGAAACAAATTGCTTGGGAAGTATGCACCCATTCCCATCAGCCTTCCCCCCATACCCTCCATTGTACATGCCAAGGGTGCCTGTCCCCATAGGCCAAGAACACTGGCATTTCTCAGAGACCCTTGGCATTTCTGATGCTTTCCTAGAGGCTCATGTCCCAGTCCCCATCCTAGTGCTAGACACTGACTTTCTCCATTGCAGCCTAAGGAGAATGTGTTGATCACTCTGTTGGGGGTGGGGGAAGGAAACGAAAGAGGAGGGGAGCTCCCAGGCTCCATTCCCCACTTGTCAATGAGCCACTGGAAATTTACAGTCCTCTGGCCACTTCAGAGTGCCCCCACCTTCACTGGCCAAATGGCAGAAGGGTCCTTACTCCAGAGGTTTCCCAGGAACCCACAACTTGAGCATGTAAACAGTGAAAATGACTGGCTTTGTTTCCATATTTACCAAACCTGTAAAACTGGTCAATGCTTCCTCCTTGATTTGGCTTGACATCTATAGCTAAGTGTCCTTTGTGTGGCTGACTAGCTGTTAAGTGAGCTACCTGCTGATCTCTATATCCAAAAATTTGGTCTAGGGCCCTCCCTGGTGGCACTTTTACAGCACTGGAAGCCAGCTGCAGCTGCTTCAGTGCAAGTTTGATCCACAGCCAGGGAGGTGACCCACATGGCACAGCAGACCTCTCCTGACCTGCTATCTGCTCCCCTCAGCAGTGTACTTCATCAATCTGCCTGTTCTACTCCCTGCTCTGTCTCTGGTGAAGCCTCTCACTGCCCTTGCATGACTGACCTGTACCCCAGTTCTATATGCATAAATAAATAAATCTTTTAAAAAAAAACTGGGTTTAAAGGAAGTCAAGATCATAATGTAAAACTGCTTTATAAAGAAAATTATATATAGAATTATTATCCACATGTGTCTTCTGTGTATAGCATCTTTCTCATAAAGTTTATATATAAAAATCAAATTTATTAACAAAACACAATCAATTATCATCATTTGGTTAGAAATTTCATAACAAACCCACAGTTCTGGGCCTGTGCCTCTAATAGTACTGAGTATTCATGCCCCCAAGTACACAACTGTTGTTATCAATATGTTCTGAAAGGACTGGGGAAATCCATTTCATGAATCTAAGTAAATGAGCTTTACACTATTTTCTTTTTGGCAACTGCATGGGACACTTAATAATAAAACAACATTGTGATGTCAAATATGGCTAAGGCATAACTTGGTTGCATGCAAGCCAGAAGCCACTTAGCCAAAGAATACTAGATACACATTTCCTACACTACAAGGAAAAATCCATGGTGACCAGGGCCAGTGGCATCAAGTCCATCCAGGTCCCAATGAGTATGGTTGAGAAAGAAGATGTTTCCCACAGAGACAGAGACAGACACACACATCTCTTTCCTCCCAGTTGACCTCATTTGGATTTCTTTTTCTCTATAAAGTTCTTGATTTTTCCAGTTGCTCTAAGACCATGTGGTGGGGGGAGACTGATGGAGGGGTTAAAAAGTGTGTTGGGTCTCTTTTATGGCCTCTTGTGATCCCATTCTTGGATTGGACCTACAATGCAGTGAGGCTCAGCCAGTACCCCATGTAGGCCCAAAGAACATCAACAAAGTATTATCCATACCTGGGGCCTGTTGGGGTTCTAAAGTCCCTTGATTAGGGTGGAAAATTTCATAAAGGTGTCCAGAATCCTGATGGCCATGGTCTCCAATCACCCATGGACAGACATGACTCAAGATCCAAGACCTAGATAATTGGCTCTTTCAGTCCCTGCCAACATGGGTGGCTGTCTTCAACCACAGGGGCTCTCTGATTTCTGCCCCAGGGCTCTCACTTTTTAGAGACTGTTTGATTGGTTACTACCTTGTCCTATTTGACAGACTCTTAGCACCAAAAGATGCTCTCCAGTGAGCTGGGTACAGACATGTTGGTTCCTATGCAATTTCTGTCATTTCTGTTAATGGAAATATATCAGATCTTCTCTAGAATCATAATTTTATTATATTGTTTATATGGAGAAATTATATTCTAATACCTCTATTTCAGGAATAAAATGTACTCAGCACAGATCCTTTGAAATCTCCAGCCACTTCAATGCACCTAATGACGAGCAAAAAGTCAGAGAGAACGTATTGTATGAAGATTGCAGGCTTTTTCTCCTGTGCTTTCACCATGACAGGGACATGTTTCCCAGGGCCTCCTAGAACCCAGGGGAACCTGATACTATTCCCACAACCAACCATTCCAGAGCAGCCTGCTGCGTGAGATAAAGCAAGAGACACTGACAATCAAAGGCACCCTACGCCTGCCAAATATGGCCCCGGGGGACTCCTCACTTGGCTGGTGTCACCTTACTTTCTCTGGAAGTAGTTCAAATACAGTATGGCAGTTACTCTCCTGCCTTTTTAGTGTCCCTGCTCGAAGTCCTTCTAGAGTTGCTATCCCAGTTCCTGCGATTAACTGCAAAAGTCTGAAAGGGAAGATCGCAGCCAACACTGGAGCTGGGATTCACGCTCCAAGCACCGTCACTGGACAGTGTAGAGTCTGGGTTAGGCATCTGCTTCTTCACCCTCTGCATGACCTTGACCATGCATGTTTGGGATGTTGGGACAGAGGTGATAACAAACGTCCTGTCTGTCCAGGACTTCTTAATACAATAGTTCGGGTCTATCCCAGTCCAATTTGGCAGAAGGACCTACAAACCTCTGACCCCTCCCACCAGAATGTCCCCAGTCACCAGAATGTGGGTCGACTCTGAAGTTTCTTTAGTGGTTCTGAGACCCATCTCTGGGTCGGCCCTGCCACTATTCTTGTGACTGAGAGTCCATAACCTATTTCAGATGAAACTCTGTGCTCCATAAAGTCACATGAACATGACCTCACTCATTTGCTGAGTCTCCTAAATATGAATGTTAGTTTATTTTTATCTAATTATCAATTAAACAAAGGTGATCCCTTCTTATGTCCCCACCCTTTGCAAACCACAGCAGTAAAATACCCTCGAGGGAATTGTGAATCCCAGAACCTACCTGGCCCTCAGCCCCACGCCCCATTTTGATGGGCTAGCCTTGTCCAGGCACAGGGCCAGGATTACGGTTAGCAAGGAGCTCTGACTCACTAGGCAGGGACACATCTCAGGTTCTCTATTCAGCACATATTTACTGAGCACTTAGGTGTCAAGCTCTCTGCTAGGCTCCAGGGGCCTGGATATAATTATGACATAGCCTTGGTCCGTATTGATGGGGCTGCAGAGGCATCAATGGCACAGAGTGCTGAGGGACCGCAGAAGAGGGACATGAACCTGTCCTGGATCCATGTTCTTCTGGACCCCATTCCTGGCCTTCTCACTGAGTTTCCTGATGCACTGTCCAGTGCCCTGGTTCCTTTAGAGCTAGGTTCTTCTCTAAGCCCCATGTAGGAGCCACGCCAGACCACACTACCCACCACATGCCAACTGCCCACGTTTGCCTACACCTCTGAAGATGACACTATAGTGTCCTCCACTTGCCAGTGGCACCACCCTCCATGTTGGCCCTAGACAGTGTTTACTTGTGCCCACATATCAAGTGGGTCTTCCTTCCAGCAGAAAGCGTCCC